TTTTCTGTGTAATAAATGATATTTGTGTATAACAAAGACTATTATTTATATATATATATATGGTATAAAAGATAAATTTTTGATTTAATAATATGTAGAAAAGTGGAGTTAGTAAAATATGTACTATATACCATATATTAGCGCTTTAAATATTGTGGTCCGAGCTAATCGAAACTTGGAGTATTTTGATGTTTGAAAGTGCCTTTGCTGGATTATTTTCCAGGAGCTGTCGTAGATATTCGAACATCATATTGTGTTCGAAAATATAAGGCATATAAAAAAGGACACTATATGGTGTACCAGTAAACATATTTGTACAATATATATTTAAAATATTATCAATATAATTAATCTCTCATTATATATAGTGTATGATCCAAATGTTAAAATTCAAAAGTTTTTGAGTTGCTCGAACATTACAAAGCACTGATATAAAAGTATTTTTGTCTAAATCTTGTTGTCATTAGTGTGGTTCTAGATTCCTAGCCTGCCACCGTGCTATGTTAGACATCTAGAACCATACTAATTACAACCAGGTTGACGCAACAGTATATTAACTATAAATAAAATTAAATTAAATATTAATCACAATTTAAAATTAGCAATCGCCATGTCCAGGTTTAGCTACATCTTGTTCACTTTTGGATTTGAAGGAGCACTTGATTTAGATTCGCTTGGTTTTGACACTTGTCTAACACCACGACCAAGTATAGGACGTCGTTGATTTGTATAGCAATAATTAACTGATCGTAATTGCCGTGTATTTAAAGCATTATGTTGATGAAATAATAGTGGAGTGGTGCCGACAATATTGGGATATGCAATTTGTGTACATGGTCTATATACGTTATTTAATGCTATTTGCTGATAAAACGTATTTGTATTTGCAGATAATGGTGTATTTGTAAGGTGAGACATCTGTGGACTTATTTGATAACTATTGATCGGAGCAAAAACTGGTGTTAAGTTTCTGTTCACCATATGAGGAGATATATTATACATACAAGGATATTGTGTTATATTCGCGTTGTACGACATTTGTTGATATATTGGATATGAATTATTCAGGTAAATTAAATTTGGTAAATTAAAGGAACCAAAGTTATTATTTTGGAAAGGACAACCACATGCTTGTGGTCTATTCATGTTACGTTCCATATTTTTATTATAATGAGATGATTGACTACTCTCAGTATATGTAGTTTGCATTGCTAATGGTTTTGACGAATTATTACGGCGAAATTGATCAGGATATCCACCAATAAATTTGTTGTTGTTGTGATTATTCCGGTATGGATTATATATGAAATTGTTGTTTTCTAGTGACATAGGTCTGTTGTGATTTTGCACTGAGGTGTCACAATTGTTGTATAAAATTTGAGGTTTGCTATTATTATTAGCATTATTCAATAATGATGTTGTTTGTATCGTTGTACCTTTAGCATTAGAATTGGTTTGTGTCTTGTGTTGATATACTTTGGAATTGTGTTCCTTGCGGGGTTGTTGTATACGGAAGTTGTTGTTATTTGGATACTTTTTCTCGATTTTCATAGTATTAAGTTCGGACTGTGATACATTAACTGCATATATGTTGGAATAGCCATGATTTTGTATACTTGAGAAATTGGTAGGATAATTTCTAAATCCTTTTTCATATGTATTACGAGTAATATTTTCTTTTTTCTGAAAACCACAAGCTTTAGTTGAGCGTGATAGAAAATCAGAGCTCGGTGTTATTTGTTGATAGTCCTCTTTTTTAGATGAACTATTTTCAAAATGTTCACAAAGATTTATTGAGTCTGCTGTAGATTCATCTTTTACTGTTGTCTGGTCTTGATGTTCACCTCTTTTAGACGAGTTATTTTTTAAAGATTCATTTGTATTTTCAATCCGAATAATTCTATTATTTTTGAAATCCACATTGTATTCAAGTGCATTTTCTAGAAAGTCGACGTATTTTATTGAATCTTTTTCTTTATTAGGTTCTTGATTTTTGGTAAGACCATCTACTAGCTTAGAAGTTGTAGAACGAGTTTCAGTGCTGGATTTATATTTTTTTTTTATATTATTATTAAAGGCGAGCGACTTTATATTACCATCCAATGCAAAGTTTTTTGGTACTGTCATATATTTTTCTAAATTATAAGCCTTAATTTCTGGAGTCGCCCGAATAGTCGAGTCAAGTGGTCGCTGAAGTATATTAAACTTCTTGGTAAGTTTAGGATATGAATTTTTCTCAGTAATACTAAGCTTTGATTTTGGAATTGAAAAACTTGAACGAGATTCTGAAAATGATTTAGAGTCTTGCAGACTTATACTAGATTTTAATGGTGAATACATAGGTCTTTTTGTATTGCTTTCTATTTTGCTTATTTTTCGTTCTGTAGATATGTCACTTTTGCAGTTATTTCGCATTGCTGAAGCATCTGTGAACGTATCTCTGAATGATTTACACGGAATTTTATTTTCCTTGGACTTTGTGGTGGGATTCAATTCTGGTGTTATCACTGACTTTAGTTGGGTTTTAGTGTTGTTATTTACTAACTTTGAGGAGTTCTTTAACTTGAAACTATTAAGGATCAAGTTATGAGTTTTTGAGTTATCAACCTTTGATTCTTGTTTCTGCACTTTTGGCATTATTGTTTCATATTGCTTTTCACGTTTTTGCAATGCAATATCCGATTTTAACAGAGAAGTATTAAATGCTAAATTGAATCTTTCTTCAGTATCAGCTTCATGTTGTATATATTCTACATAAGAATGCTCAGTAAAAATATCTTGTTTTGGACTTGTCCAAAGATTAATTCTTGGTTTATACTGACCGTTGTATTTTTCCGGATTTATAAAAGTAGGTTCCGAAAATGAAGAATTAAGTATTCCATGTTTTGCATTCGTACGATTAAATTCTGCGGTACGCTCTTCTGTAATAGTCTCTGTGTAGTCTCGGCTTGGATATTGTATAAAAGTGTCATATTTTTTCGATAGAAAAGGTAATTTTTCAGGTGGTGCTTCGTACTGGGTTTCATTTTTCGAAAAATTTGTACAGTATCTCGTAGTTGGTTTATTCAATGTTATGTACATTTGTTTTGCAATTGTTAGCTTCGCACTAGCATTTTTTGGATGTTGAGAGATCTCGCATGGTTTAGACACTTCTTTTATAAACTCTTTGTTAATTGGCGAATTAAGTGTGAAACCTGGTACACGAACCACTTTAGAGCACTCTGCATTAATTGGGAAAGTAATTCCATTCTGGATATTTAAAATTGTAAGTTTTTGTTTTTCAATTTCATCGAGATATAACCTATTAGTGTCTGTTTTCTTTGAGACTGGGTTAGATGTTTCAGCAATAGGCGTGAAAGAACTTGGTATAGCAAAGCAACGGGAAGATAAGTGTTGTATGTTGTTGTCACTTGTTGTTCTTCCAATGCTTGTTGAACTCTTTGGATTAAATCCACTTTCTAGTTGCATATTGATATCGCTATTTATATCCATTCCAACTTCATTATCCTGAGATTGGAAGATTTTAATGTGCGAAAACTTTTTATTTTGAATAATATCTGAAATCAATGTTTGTATTATTTCGGATGACTTGTTTAAAGATTCAAAAATACCTTGCTCTTTTATTGTCATATCAGGTGATTCCCTGCTTTCTTCTGAAAGATTATTGCAGTTGGCAGAATTAGATCCCTTTGCAACTTTTAAACTATATAATTCTTTTGTTTTTTCATTATATTTAAAAACCACAGAATGTGACCCCGAGCCCGGTTGTAACTGAAACGACTTATTTGAATGCGCATTACTGATAATAGTTTCTAATTTGCATATCTGTTCCTTTTGTGGGATGATCTCTTCACATTTTTGTTCGTCTGTTTCATCATCATTAGCGTTCGATACAATTTCTTTTGTTGCTGCTTTGTCAGATATACACAGTATCTCAGGTTGTTGTTGTTGTGTCTTAATTAATTTTTGTCCTTCATACTCAGAAACTTTATTAACTGGTTTGATTTTTGCATTTCCACAACTATCGATATTGTCTTTTTCCAAATCACAAGATATATTATATTTTTTAGCCAATTTGGCTTCGTAATCGTACTTTGACACATAGTGTACCTTAGACCTAGACATTTTTTTCTCTGACTTTATTTTATTCACCATGTCAATTTTTTTCTTTTTTTCAAGTTCTTTTTTAACATTAGACTGTTTTTTTTTAATAACTTCTGGAAAATCATCCAAGGATGCCGACATTACTTTCCGATACATTATGCTACCAGCCTTCACGACGCCAAAAAGAATATTATCATTTTAATATGAAACGGAAATAAATCTGAAAAATTTGGCAACTGTTATCATGAGCGTCCTGATCTAGTACAAATTATACTCTTAAGTGTCATACAAGATTGATAAGTGAACATCACACCAAAATGAATACTGAAATCGTAAAATTTATAACAATACACAAAAATATTATTGCTTAAGCCACATTTAAGAATTTTGATAAATTTTTATTAGAAATTTTTTTATAATTTTTTTCAATTTCCAATTATATATGATTAGAATATTTAGAAATATATATGTGTATGCGTAAAAATTTTTTTTTGTTAAAAATTCAAAGTATGATTGATTGATTGCATCTTGAGAAGAATTTATTTCATTCTTCAACAATTTTATTGTACTTTGCGATGATAAAGGTACTGTCAACATAACTAACACACTTCAAGAGCATATAGACCTCATCCTGGAACATTCCCAGAAATGGAAAATAAAAATTAATAATGAAAAAACTAAAGCTCTGATCATTACGCGTACGAGGATACAGAACCTATCGAGAGTGAGAGTGGAAGATATGGTAATAAACTGGAAAGATAGCATTGAAAAACGATTCACATGGCTTAAACATGTTCAACCGCTATTCAAAAATGAAAATCTCAAAGCCAAGAATAGGAACCTGATACATAATCAAATAACAACAACACAAACACTTCTATATGGATGTGTAGCGTTCAGCAAGGCCTCAAACACTACTATTTGATAGCTGGAAATTTCACAAAGCTAGGCTCTGAGAGAACTTTTCAATGTACCATGGTACAGTAGGACGAATAGCAACCTCAGGTACCTCAATATTATCCGGTCACGAAATACATAAAGGATAGAGGTCTGAAACTATTTACAAAAATTGACAGACCATGGACCATGGTACAGTAGGACGAATAGCATCCTCAGGGACCTCAATATTGATCCGGTCATACATAAATACATAAAGGATAGAGGTCTGAAACTATTTACAAAAATTGACAGACCATGGACCATGGTACAGTAGGACGAATAGCATCCTCAGGGACCTCAATATTGATCCGGTCACGAAATACATAAAGGATAGAGGTCTGAAACTGTTTACAAAAATTGACAGACTTACCAACACCGAAATCTTAGAATGGTTACAGGCTCCTCTGGGAGGTCAGTTATTGCTTAGTCTGGTGAAGTGATGAACAATAATCCAGTCAAGGCGTAGAGAGGGGTAATAATGAAACCTCGTAGTTAGTAGAGAGTAAAAGTGATCAAGTGGACTTTGTCACGATATTTATATAGTGCAAAAATAGATTTGGGTTTAGAATGTATGTGTGAATGGGGTGGGGTATTGGGTTCTGCGAATAATTGTTTAGTGTGCGGGCTGCTTTTTCGTACTAGAAAAAGCGAACGGCATACTTTCTTCATATCTGTTGTTTGTATTAAAACCGGAAATGTTTGAAGTAGACTAAAGAAGCTTTTAGTTTCTTTCTACAATATAGAGATTAATAAGATAATAGAAAATATTGCCTAAGAAGAATGTGCATTGACGCTCTAGAAGAAGAACGAAGTATGATGAATTCAAGAAATTATACTAGATTAATGCGTAAAAAAGAGATGACAAGAGGTGTATAATAAAAATATTCTTGCTTTACACAGGTTGTTAATATTAATAAAAAAGAGACATTACAAATTATTACATAACAATAACTTGCACTATATAAAAAATAAAATAAAAATAATAATAAATTACAACCGAAAAGATCTTACCAATAATGGTAAGTTCAATTGGATGAATGGTAATAATAATATAAATATATATAATAATATAACACAACTGAAGTTACAACTTGAACTGAACTTAAAATGGTGAAGGAATTTTTAAACTGACGCTTAAAAACCTGAAAAGTGAGGAACCAAAAGTTGGTTGTGAATTATGAAATCCTATGTATAGGTGTTTAATATATGTTTCTCTAAGGGTTTAAAATTCCAAACCACTGATTTTCATCACAATCTCTTTTAAAATGGAGATATAAAAACTATTGTCTTACATCGACAATTTGGATGATATTAAAGAGATAGAATAGCATTACTCTAATAGAAAGGGTAGAAATTAAGCTCTAGTATCGAACAGAAATGATTTTATTATCTCTATATATCATATAGAAAACATAGATCATAATAGAATTCTACAGAGTATAGATGTATATATATTATTATTTCTTAGGTAAATGGACTTAAAAAGATTCTTTTGAACATTATAGTTCTTAATAATTTTATTTATTATCTATATCTTTATCTATATTTGATGGATTATAATAAAAATAATAAACAAAAATATGGTTTAAAATACAATATATAAAAGAATAAATTTTATTTATATAATATAATATATATATGAGTAATTATGTATAAAATTTTTATATAAAAATTTTTATCAATTTATACCAAATATCGCAATATAAAAATAACATTTTTAGACTTTTTATTATTGCAAAATTATTTTAATTTAGTTGTACTAATATTATTCTGTATAAAAGATATTCCAGTTAAACTTAAATTTTGTATAAATAAAATAATATTTATATTTTCATTATTTCAATATTTAGTAAGTTGCATAACATCATGTTTACATACATTTATATAATAAAAATCAGTGAAACCGGTATTTATTTCACAGTTAATTTAATAAAGCAAAAGATAATAATCATAGCACGACAGTATTGATAAGATATTGTGGGAGCTACATTTCTAGATAGTCAATCTGGATTTCAGAACAACTTATTTTCTCAAATATATTAAAAAAATTATAAATTTAAATGGCAGAAAACTGGTAAACGATGCATGGTAAGTTTTGATTACCCTATAAAATTGGTCAAATTCTTAAGACTGTGCTGATATAAGAATAGGTCAATGCAGCTCTTTTACGATATTTAGCGAAAATGTCTTCTAGTTTAAACAAAACTGGATAAGGTCCATATGCAGTAATTAGTTTATTGTTGTGGGATTTAAATATAAATATATATTTATATATATATAAATAAATATATATATGTATATATCATATCAATAGATGGCCTCTAGCATCTACAAATAATGTAACATTACCATATGTATAATTATTTAAATATTTAATTGTATGTTTTATTATAGTCCCTACAACACAAACTAAAATGAGTTTTGCTACACAAACGAACGTAGTTCCAGAAATAAGCAGGTTTATGTTCCAAACCTAACTATTATTGGCTACCATGTGGCAGTCTGAAAATTTAGTGAACAATAAATATAAACAGAGGAGCTACACTAAAATAGTTTCTTTTAGAACGGGGAACTTATACGGGAAATAGCAATAACAGTGAACACCAATTCAATGTGTATTTGATCTATATAAGTTGACTT